GCTCCTTTTTACCAGTCAAGATCTCTTTGGAATTTAATCTATTTATGGTATATAGGATTCCTCTTATTTTCATGTGTGTATATATAGTGGGTACAGAATAATGACACGCAGTACAGAACCTGGGGATCATATTCACTTTTTAACCTGTACAGCAGCCCAGGAATATAGCTGAAAGTTCAGTAATGGTAGTCTCCCTGTGGAGGTCAGAAGATGAAGGGTAGAAATGATAAGTTGTGTTTTTGGTCAGCCCAAGAGGTCGATTTTAGTGAAGAAAGTTATAACTAGATAAATAGGACCATGCTGGAGAATATAACTAAACCTAGGTAGAAAGACCATTTTAATTAGATTAATGAGGCTCTGCTGGTGATAAAGGAAATGAATTCTGTTTTTTATGTTTCAGCATTTATTATTGTAGAATAGGAGAGAGGTTTAGGTCAGTAGTGTGCAGTTTAAGAGGGGAAAAAATTATTTATTTCAGTTTATGGTTATGCAGAACACCCCAAAGGTTTTGAAGATTGAGTGGAGAGCTTGTAAGGTCTGTAAAGGTTCATTAAGTTATAGCAGGGCGTCATCTGTGTAGAGACATTTTGACTTATATGAGACTAACACTTCTTTCTGCAAAATTCTTTGTATATTATTACCAGTCATGCAGGCCATCTGATCATTATTAATCAGATGTCCAATGATCCAGATGAGGTGAGTTGCCAGTATGTCTGTCAGGATGTTGGCATCCACATTTAAAAGTGAGACAGGATGGTAGGAGAAACATTCTGCTTCTAAATTGTTAAACGTGTTAGGAATTACAGCAATCACCATGTCCAACATGGTCTTTGGAAGAGCCATTCGCATGAATGCCTCTGAGAAGGTTTTTTGCAATATAGGAGACAATTTGTCCTGGAAAGCTTTAACGTTTTTATAGGAGGCCATCTGTTCCTGGAGTTTTACTAGGTTGGAGAGAATTCATAAGTGCTAGAACATAATTGGTAGCAATGTCAGTTTTTATGATATTTCAGTCGTGGGGTAATATTCCAGAGCAGGGGCCTCCAAACCTTTTAAACAAAGGGCCAGTTTGCTGTCCTTAAGACATTATGGGGGCTGGACTGCAGGCTGTTGGGAGTAAAAAAGGTCACAATGTTTGTGGGAATAAACCATGCCCCTTCTTTGGTGTCAGTGGGAGGAATGAATCCCCCATCATTGGAGTCATTGGGAGGAATTGTGCCCCATCATTGGTGTCATTGGGCCTGATTGTTGGTGTCATTATGAGCAATTTTGCACCATTGTTGGTGTGAACATGCGACCATTTTCCTCTCCCTGTTTAAAGATGCTCAGAGACTGATGCAGAAGTATTTTCTAAGTCATGTCAGAGTATAGCAAAGTAAAAGAGAAGTTCTTGAGAAGCTAATTGCAGACCTCTATGCACTCAGTCATTCTTTCAGTGAAAACTGGTAAATTTAAAAGATACAATTTTTTACTACATAGAGCCAAATATAACCTCTTTTTGATTACCTCTTCTGGGTTTTGTGCTTTTATATGTTACATACGTTCTCCAATTAGGAGATTTAGAACGTATAGAACCCAGAGGCAAGCAAGCAAATAGCATTTTCAAAAGAAGCTCAGCTGAGGCAGTCACATTCCTTTAACTGTACAAACATCTTTGGACCTCTTACTACAAAGCCATATAATGTGCTGTCTGGGTATTGGGCTATTTGATTTAAAGTGATAGTAAACGTTAGTTTTTTTTTAAATATTATATATTTACCTGCTCTGTGCAAGGATTTTACACAGAGTAGCCCTGATTCTCCTCTTTGAAGGTCCCCCTACCAGCACTCCTGTCTCCCCCCCCCCCTTTTTAGTGCCTCCACAGCAAGCCGCTAGCTATGGGGGCACTCGTTTGTGTTGGATCCTGAGCCGACCCGGTGAGTCCATAAGACACACAGAGCACAACTCAGCCCTGCCCCCATTCCCTCCTCACTGGTTGTGATTGACATCAGCAAAGCCAATGGCTCCCACTGCTGTCTCCAAGCCAATGAGGAGTGAGGGAGCTGAGAAAGCTTTAGCTCTTTGCACATCACTGGATCAAGATCGGGCTCAGGGAAGAAAAAGGAGGGGCTGAAGGGAAAGCTGTACTCAGAAGATTTTTTTACCTTCCTGCATAGAATGCATGAGAGTACAAAAAACCTTCTGCCTTTGCAACCACTTTAATAAGATAAGGGTCAAGTAAAGTGATTTGATTTGATAGGTGTGCCATGTTCACATCAGTTATGTTATCTTCCATCTGCATTTTACAAAATAATTAAGAGTACTTGGAATGAAACTAGGCCCCATAAATTTTCTAGCCATATATGCTACATTAATGACCTTTCTTGTCTTATATAATTTCTGACATTGCAGTGTGTCTTTTCAGCATTAACAATATTGTCTGTGAATAATATGAAACTGTTTTTTTTTTTTAGTTTCTTATTGTAGGTGTAAACTGAATATTATTGAATATATATAGAATGTTTCTGTATGTTAGCAATGCCACTATGCATATTAGCTGCTCATAAAATAAAAATGCCTTTAAAATAAACAGAGCAGAAAGTGACACGTTGGTTTTAAAACTGAAGACTTAAAGTTCACACTCATTACTTTATTAAAGTCTTTAACATTTCATGAAAGATCATTAATGAATTATCTGTTTACATCTTAGGTCTTTTTAATCAAATGTCAACATCTTTTTGGGGTCTTGGCTCATTAGACATGTTTCCACTAGCTCTGGCATGACAGGAAGAAAACCTTTTGCAGTTCACTGTGATAAATAAAGAAAAAGAAAACCACTAATTCATATGAAAAGAAATTTGCTTAAAAGCCATTCTAATTAAAGATTTCATCCCATCCAAAATCTTGCACTTCCTCTGTAATGCATGTTCAAAAACAACAGTTGATTGCTTTCTTCTAAATATCAGTTTTAATTAATAGTGATGGTATTAAACTTCAAAATATTGTATCAAAGAGTTGTTGAGTGATATATTCATATTAGTGTAATTCATACAACACATATTTGATTAAACACACATTTTTTCATCTGGAGAAAATTAGAAACCATTTATTCTTTTTTTTTTTTTTGCATTACTACAGTTTAACTTGCCTCTTATACATATATGGTATTTTTTTTCTGTCAAAGTTTAAAAAAACTATTGTGAATCTCAAAATGTAAAATGGTTGTTTAGAACAAGAGAGGAGGTGGAATTTGAAGTCAAATGTTGCACATTAGGTTGGTAAATGTACTGAATGATCACATCCGTCAGTCACTGGGTGCAAGAACAAGAACCACATTTCTCTGTGTAAAACATGTAGCTGCAATAAATAACTATTAGACTGGACTGGAATAAACAAAGACAAGACTAGCAAAATGCGTTTAAAGTAACTTTATAGTATGTATATAGTGGCCATAATCTGATTTTTCTATGTGCAAGGTACAAATACATTTTGTACAATATTTATACAAGGACATGAGTACTGGGTATACATATATCCCACCCCTAAGAAATGTAAAGTCAGTGTAGTGTAAATATTAGAAGCTGAATTCTTTTTAGTTAGTCACTGGACAGACACATGCAGAGTGGAATGCCTAAAGGCAAACTTTTACTCTCTAGCTCTCTAGCTGCCTGAGATAGTTGAATGGTAAAATGATACTTGGATGAGTTACTACTGACTAATTGTTGGCTTGGATTTTTCAATTTCTACAGCTTTTTATTTTCAGACCTAATTAATTCCTGAGCGTTTTTACAATATAAAAATGTTTAAAAACTTTTCTGACTATAAATAATAACATTTAGTCCCTATATTGGTAGGTAATATCTTTAAGTCCTGGTTCACACTGGTGCAAAATCTATGCGGATTAAGTCCAATCTGAAAGGAATAGATGCACATGTCATCTGAAAAAAACATTGTTTGCTATGAAAGCCGTTCACATCTATGCGGTGCGATTCTGATCCGATTAAAAAAAGGGTCCTGTGTGAGTTTAGTGTGGATTCGGTGCAAGTTTTATCTCCAGCTATGCCAAATCCCCTTAGAAATCGCACTAATTCGCATTAGAATCACACCTGTCACAACAGAAATTGCACTGTGAAATTGCATCAAATTCACACTGCATCAGTGTGAACCTAGCCTAAGTGTTTTTGTAGACATCTATTACATCAGCAGTATTAAAACTGACAGTCAACTAAAAAAATTGACACATTGTCATGCTTAAAGTTGCAGTTGTAGCTAACAAGTGTTCCTTTCAATGAAGGCATTTTTTCTTTGCTTTATGTGCCCACACTGGGTAATTTTCCCTCCCTACCGGTATCAGAGATACAACGTTGTAGAATAGAAAGAGAGAGGTTACAGTTAGGTGCAATCACAAAAAAACTTTTACAGTTGCCATTTACCCAGGCATTCCCAAAGAGAGATTTTCACTCTTTTCATGTGTCATCTGTCAATGATGCCATGTCTTCTCCTTTTTTTTAGTTATGATTCATTTCCCTAATAAGCACACAGATAGCACTACAATGTTGGCAGAACTGCACAACTTTTCCCCTCTCAATTTTTTGTTATAGTTCCAGGATACATAGCAACAAATCAAACCTGTAGTTGTAATGCTTTCAAATAAATTATTTATAGCCCTTACCTGTGAAAATAATTATATTTCATGCCCTGTTCTAAGCATATCATTTTTACTGAGCCATTCCCCTCTCCTGCTGCACACCAAGATTTTTCTACAAAAGATATTTACTGTTCAGACACTTATTTCAACACCAATATGATCAATTGAAAAAAAACAAAGTATATGGCTAATTTAATAATTTTAGACAGTTTTTTACAGACTTTTTAGTAATAAAACACACAGAGCAGTGGTAAACACTTTTTGAAATAGTTACTTTTTAATAAATACTTGAAATATACATGTTTATTATTGTTGGGGTTGTGATGATTATTTTTTGCTATTTATAATAACTGAGAATGTTTCATTTTTTCAGGTATATTTTTCACCTTTGTTGTTGTGATGCACGTCATCTGGGTCCAGAGTGTATCAGATGTGAAGGGTTACCAGGATATGAGACAAGAGGATTGCCCAGGTTACACAGTGGACATTCGCTATGGGTGGTCCTTTATGTTAGCTCCATTCGGCATCTTTTTCTCACTTTTGGCAGGAATGCTCTTTCTCTTAGTAGGACATACCATATTCTTACACATAAAATAACGTTAATTAAATCAGCTTAGAGGCTTCATCCTGAAAATGCTTTATAATGTCTTGGATGATAATGGACACAGCAGTTAGTGTGTTACTACTTTATTTTACATTGTACTTTATTTGTGGATTGACAATGTTTTATTTCTGTATCCAAGTTGCAGCATGTCATATAAATACCTTTGTTTATTATGTTACCGTAAGACCAAATGGTAGAGAAGTTAGCAATCAGAAGCTGTATTATATCTGTTATATTTTCTGTAATTTCTGAAATGTGTTTAATAGATTATTGAGTAAAGACTGAGGGTGTAATTTCATCTGCTTATGCGCTGCTTGTTCTCATCCTAAGGATCACATAAACATACTTCTTGGTGCCTAAAATAGAGTACAGTTGTTCATTTGGTTTCAGTGCCAGCAAGTGTGATTCACATGTATAGTATTTCTCTGCCAGAAAGTTAGAAGTGTTTTCGTTTTTGTGCATGCTAAATGATATTCAGAAACATTAATGAAAAAGCTGTATTTTTTTCCTGTTCTTTGAAGGACATAGTAGGTCTTTCACCTTTGAGTTTACTGCCACTTACAGGAGGATTGGACACTGGCAAACAAAGGCCAGTTCAGGATAAGCCCTTCTACTAGCAGCACGCCTCAGTTGTTGGTAATGTACTAGGAGGATGGATGCTCTTTTTTTCACTTCTGCCTCATAAAAGACTAGCTTTTATTTGTTATTATATCTTTTTCTCATTCTTTCTCTTTTTTTCGTAACCCCTTTATAACCGTTCAACACTATGTGCAGTGGCAAAAAGGTGGGCTGTAACACTCGCACACTACACATATGCATTGCAGAGTGGTCAATGTTTATATGCTGAGAGCACTGTCACTGTGTACTCTCATCACAAAGACCAAGCTGTCAAAGATTGGTAGCTGGCAGGACCGGAACCGGCCATGTGACCACTGTAACAGTGGTCACGTGATCACCAATCCTTCCCATCCCCCAGGCATTCTGAATCATTTAAATGGATGCCAGGGCAGGTGGTACACTGCTGCTAGAGCTGAATGCAGCTATCTGACATGGTTGTACTCAGCTTGGACACTGCTGGACCGGATGTTGCAGGGATCCCCTTGAAATGACCTTTGGCTACTGGTTTCTGGTGTTTTCCAGATTCTGCTCTAGTACATGTTAGCCACAAAGTGTTTTCCAAGTCCAGAGCCACTGGCATTGTCTTTGTGCATGGCCTGCCTCTGAAGACTCACTTTGTAAGTGGACCAGTAAGGCCAACTACATAGGTCACCAGGTGCATTTCATTGAAGGGACAATGTCTTTTCAGAGCTACTTTGGATACCATTATCATGGATGCTACTGGTGGCAAGAAAATCCATCTTCCTCAATGGAAGGAGCCTAAGGATCAGGCTTCAAAATCTGCTCCCTCTCTATCGGTTTCATTTAGTTTCTCCACTCCAGCAACATTCCTGTCCAGATCTTTCTAAGCTTAACTCCCAGTCCACCCACAAGGTCTGGGGCTCAAAGTATGCCAAATCCTGAGACCCAGACCTTCTGCAGCATGAAAGTGTGCTCCACTTTCCAAAGTGAGGGTGATGTTTATTAACCTTTGGGGGCACTTGGATTGCTTGCATCACAGATCCTGGATGCAGGGGGTGGTCTCCAAGGGCTACAAGCTGGAGTTACACTCCCTGCCCCCTCCTCAGTTTTTTACCTACAACCTTCTTGTATCACTCACAGATTCCAAGATCTCTATCAAGTTCTTTTGGATCTCCTTGATCAAGGTGTTATTTCCTAAATGTCTGTGGCAGAACTCATGGGCTGCTCCCACCTATTCACAGTTCCCAAACCCAAATGAGGCACCCAATCCAACTTGAATCTGAAAGAACTGATTGAACATATTTGAGCTAAGATATTCTACATGGCTTCCCAATGACTTTTCATCACCTCCCTTTACCAGGCAGACTTTCTAGCTTCAGTGGATATCAAGGACGTATCAGCGCATCAGTGTTTTCTGTGCTTTGCCATGGCACTCTTACAGTACCAGTTGGTGGCCTGCCTTACAACCTCTTGTCTGCACCTGGGGTGTTCATCAAGGTGCTAGTCCCAATACAAGCCCTGTTTCACTCTTGTGGTATCCCCTTTGTGGGATACTTGGATAATGAGGTCTGTCAGATAACATGGCTTTGACTGTCCAGATGTTACAGCAGTATGCATGAATCCTAAAACTTCAGAAATTGTTGTTAGAATCTAATTATCATTTTGAGTATCTGGGTCTAGCACTGAATACAGGCCAGATTTTTTTTCTACATGAGAGACTTTGGATTCTGCTATCTCAGATTTTCAGTTCAGAATTTCATCTGTGTTTTCCATGAGAGTATTGGATCTGATGGTAGCCTCCATTGAGGTAGTCCTGTTTGCCCAGTTTCACTCTAGACCTCTACAACATAATATTCTGTTGTCATGAGACAAGTTAGTCCAGTTCCTGGACAGACCAATTTGTTTTGCACCCAGGACCAGGTTTTTACTGGCTTGGTGACTCAAAAACTGTCACTGGAAAACTTTCCCCCTGTCTTTCAGAGTATCCATATGATGGATGCCAGCCTGTTGGGCTGGGGGAGAGTTCTGAGCACCTTGTTGGTGCAGGGAAGTTGATTATCCGAAGAGGAACATCATAGACCTTAAGGCAATTTGACTGTCTCTGCATTGTTGGACCCTCCTTTTGGAGGGTCAACCATTCCAGATTCAGTCACACATCACCATGGTAACATATATCAATCATGATGGAGGAACCAGAGGCTTTGCAGTGGCAATAGAGATAGCTTGCATCCTGTCTTGAACAGAACTTCACATTCCAGCCTTGTCCACCGTGTATATCCAGGCATGGACAGTTGGCAGGCAGACTTCCTTAACCACTGGATTCAGGGAAGGAGTCCCTACACCTGGAGGTATTCCACTATTACTGTCACCGTTGGGGGATGCTGGATGTGGACCTCTGGTGTCCAGGTTCAACAACAAACTGGATAGATTTGTTTCCAGGCACAGTGATTTTCTAGCGCAAGCAGTTAATGCTATAGGGAGTCTGTAGGATCTGTAAACCCTGATGTATGTTTTTCTACCCTAAAACTTATTCCCCAACCAATTTACTATCCTATGCTTCATTATCGCTGGCTTTAACAGCATACTGTAGTTGTTGGTACCTACCACTTGGTGTTACATGTGATGTTAAAAATAAAGAAAGCTACTTCCAGCATGGTGTTTCATCTGACATGGAAAACATACTTCACTTGGTGCAAGCCATTGAGTTTCCACCCAAGTTACTCCATGGAATGACTCCTTTCCTTCCTGAAGCTGGATCTGGACCAATGTTTGGCCCTCAGCACTATCAACGGTCAGATTTCTGACCTTTCTGTTTTGTTTGAGACCAAACACAAAAAGCAAAGGGACACACTGACCTAGTGCATTTCCTCCATTTAAAAATAAAATAGCATAAAATTAACAAAGCTGTTAAAATCACAAGAATGTAAAAAGTCCTATGACAGAGTCTCATGGCACCTTCAGGACATGGATGACCAATATGGAAGACTTTTGTAATACTACGTAACAAAATGCAAGTATGTTGATTTCAAGGAATATGCCCTCTTCCACAGAGTGGTTGCTTGCTTAATTGCCCACCCCTTGGCTCTACAACTAACCAATCAGGGGGTGAAACATATCAGAGAAAGAGGCAGCTGGGTGGAGTGTCTGTGTTTGTTCTTGTAAAATAAATCTGATTTAACTACAATTAACTGGTGTGCGACTCCAGACTATGTACATGTGGTGTGTGGGAAGAACAAACTCTGAAATAGTGTGCAAGCACAGGTTGTAGAGGGAAACTGCCCCTGTCCTTAGAGTGGCACTGCATCAATATTGAGTAGTTGCCAACCCCTCCGTTGGACTGCTTTGAGGTGTCGTTAAGATGGAAGACGTCATGTGTCCCTCAACAGGGTGAGAAAAAAAATATCATTTTTTTATTCACTGTAAAATCATTTTCATGAAGTCCTTTGAGGGATACAGGTCCCAACCCTCTGTGTTTATTATCATGCTCTTAGTACTGCTTTGCTACAAAACTGAAGGATGCTTGCAGTAGAAGGGATTATCCTGGACTGTCCTTGAATTGTTTTGTTTGTTTGAATACGTTCCTCCTGTAGGTGGCAATATTACATGAAGCTGAAAAACTTCCTGTGTCCCTCTATGGATTTCAAGAAAGGATTTTATGGTGAGTAAAAAAATCATGTTTTATTCAGCATAAATGGCTAAATGTTATGTTTTTAATAAATATTATGCTGTTTTGTTTATTTAGTGTTGGAATGCCTTTTGCAGTTTAAGGAAGATCTTTTTATAAATACACATATGTATAACATTATTTTCTAGATGCAGAGCACCATTTTCTTTGCAGGGTTATGCTTTCTATATCTTTAACTTTGAGGCCACTAGTACCAATATGTTCTATGGGGCCTATTTATAAAGGCTAATACTGCTGTACTCTGGTATTTTCGATGTCAAATGTTGTGTCTGACACTTTTACTTATCCATAGTATATTCAGGTAAAAATAACCTACCAAAATGCATATTTCTCACAAATTTTCAATATACTGAAGACTTTCATTTTATGTTTTAATAATAATTAATAACCCATGGTCTCCATACTGTGGCCAAGGGCCTGGGCCTATTCTTCTCAGTGACACCAATGAGGGACATTATCCCTCCCACTGAAGCAAGCAATGGGACACTATTCTTCCCACTGCCACCAAAGATGGCTTTGGTTACTTCCACTGACACCAGGAGATTTTTTACTCCCACAGTCCACCCCCGCACAAGTCTGAACAACAGTAAACTGGCCCTTTGTTTAGAAAGTATGAGAACTGTGATTTACACCAAGGTAAACAAAACCTATTCCATAAGTCATAGAATGAAGCTAGAGAATATAATCTTCCCAATTATTTTTTTAATTTCCATATTGTATGGCTTTTAT